TCATCCCCTGTTGCCAATACCAGGTCCAGTAAGGCATTCCCCCTAGTGGGACCGTGTACCTCCTGCGTCAGGTGGAGGTCCTGTATGCAGGATAGGAATGTGCGTGAACGGTGGGACTTTGCTGTCTGTCTCTCCCAGCAGATGTCTGGGTAGTTTAGGTCCCCCATGACTACCGCCTCCTTAGTTTTTATGGTCTCTGAGAGCTGCCTCAGGAGCCCCGAATCTAGTTCTTCCCCCTGGTGTGGGGGTCTGTAGCAGACCCCTACCACCAAATCCCTTTCTCCTTGCCCCCCATGTAACTTAACCCACAATCCTTCTACTTTCTCCTCCTTCGATTCCGTCTTGATGAGGGTTGAAGTATATTGCTCATTGACATAAAGCGCAACCCCTCCCCCTTTCTTCCCCACCCTGTCCTTTCTGTACAGCCTATAACCCTCAATATGTACCGCCCAGTTGTGGGAAGAATCCCACCAGGTTTCAGATAGCCTTGCTAAGTCATAGGTGTTTACAAACAGAAAACAAACAGTCTCTCTCATTAGTTCAAACTCTTCTTAAACAAAGAAGGAATGGAGGGACATTACCAGCTGAGCTGTTGATTAGCTCCAAAAGCCCTAAGCTGCCACTACTGTCTGCGACAGCATGTACCACAGCCAGCATGTGGTCCACTAGATAATGCTGAGGTGCCTGTGTAAGGCAGAGGGGATGGGAATCCCTGCTTAGCAGAAAGTGGGGAGGGGAGGAGGAAAGTAGGGGGAAAGCAGGTGGAAGCCAGGCAGATGATGCTGTGCCTGCAGTCTCTGCCCGAGTTGCAGCCAAGGAGCAGAGGCGAGGCGCCAACCCTGCTGTGGAGCAGAAAGCCCTGCCCAGCCCAGAAAGCATGCCAGGATGCTCAGTGAGTCTGATTTAACTTAAATCAGCATGGCGTCTGGGACAGATATTGCATAAACCAGTTTGACCCAAATCAACTAAGCCTGATACTACATTCAACCAGGTTTATCTCAAACCAGTTTCAGCCATTTTCAAAATGGTTTATGTGCACTGAACATCTGTTCTGTTACAGGTTTAAACCACTTTCTGATCACTTAAACCAGTTTATGTGTACCATCTGTCCCTAGCCATGGTCCACAGGACAAATCCAGCCTGCAGAGCCACTTGACCTAGACCAAGTTGCTAGAGGACTTTGCCTGTACGCAATCTATCTGGGGCTGAGCAGCTGGCAGCTGCACCAAATCCCACAGCTGAGAGGCTGTGTGTATATGTGGGAGGGCGGTAAGAGGAGCAAAAGGGCGAGGGAGAAGCAATGGCAGTGTGAACAGAGCTTCAACTTTCCCAGCTCTGTTGAAGCTCCCACCAGCTGGAATCTGCCCCGTAGAGAAGCCAGAGAGCAGGGAAAAATCGTGGTGGCACAACTGCCACCTGCTTGGCCCTGCTTGGGTGAAGGCAAAGATCCCCACTGCTGATGTGCCGCTGAAGGCCCCCGGCCTACATCAAATGGGAGCTAGGTCATTGTTATTGTTTTGTCCAGCAGCTTATAAAGTCTGCTGGTTCTGTCCCTAGATAAACTGGGAAATTCCAGCCAAGGGGGTAGCAATCTGTTCCATGTTATATACAAACTGAATAATCTTAACGTACCTGACAAACTAGAAAATTAGACAAAGTTTGAGCAGCCTACTGAAAGCAGGGGGCATATTTTTATGATTCCTGAATGAACTTGCAGGTATGAAAAGTTTGCTGACACTGGCAAAGGGAATCAGGAAAATATGGAACGTTGGCAGTGGAGCACATAGCACAAATAGGTGACTCTTGTACAGTAACTTTCCTGACTAGGCCCACACTTTCTGGACCAACTGCTCTGCAGTGGTCTCGAGTAGTGAACATTGTGTTGTTTCAAACCAATGTCCATCTGAATAAAGGAAAATCAGCTCTGCACTTTAGCTTACTTATTGCATGTGCCCCATTCTCCTCTCCATTCACAGTGGCTTCTCCGTTCTTTGGTGTGTTTTGCTGGGAAATAGCAGTTGTCGTTGTTCCTGCTGTTGCTGTCGTTGCTGCTGCTGCTGCTGCTGCACTGGCTTGTTGTTGAGCTAGTTTCTCTCTGAATGCCTGTTGCCGGGTCTGAACAACGTCAGGCATCACTGCGTCTATCAGCGATAGTGACTCTATTGGCCTGCCATCAAATACTGTACCATCCTAGGGAAAAAAATAAATGGGGGGGTCTTACAATGAGAAAAATTGATGCAAAGGAATATTAAAGAGAAACCACATGTATGGTTGCATGGGGATACAAGGCTATGTTAAGATTGGGAATCTCCATCTTAGACAGTGCCTACATCTATGATATCAAAGCTGTGCGTGGGAATATTTTGTGTGGGCAGATAACAAGTCAGATATATAAATTATTAGACTGGATGAAAAGAAATAGAGCCACACAAAAATAATGATCTAAATCTTACCAGAAAATTTCACTTGATTTTACAGTCCAAAAAAGGGTCAAGGGTTACTCAGAGAAACAGACATGGTTTTAACTGAGAAAAAGACGGTGGTGTCCCACACCCAATATATAAACAAATCTCTGAAAATACACAGCCAACTATGCAAAAAATGGAGAAGTTAGTGGAGACGACAAGTAAAAGCAAGCTTTCATTTTCCTAAATGATTTTTATGTTAATCCAGAACATTTCTTTGGTTTTGGTTTAAATCCTAGCTGTACAATGAAGAAATATTTTGCCAGATAGATTGTAGCATCTGAATTCTTAGCTAAAAAACTCCTGACTAGAGCATTCTTCTGAACAAAATGACCAACTCTTTGCAGAGATCTCAAATTTTACTGAGATTTTAAGAATGCTGGTTCAGGTAATTTAAAATAATTTGCTGCACATAAAAACAGAGATACCAACATAACAATTACTATAGATTAGGCATAATAAGGAACATTTTCACTTAAGTGACGCTCTATATTAAGAATTTTATCAGTGGAATATGAAATCAATAACTGAACACATGCAAGACTTGGCTGCATGCTTACTGAAATCAATGAAACAAAATTATTGATTTTATGATGCAGAATCAGGGATTAGAGAAATCAATAACCAGGTCTCCTTTTTTGCACTCATAACTTTGTTGGGACAAGTTAAGGCCATTTTAGATGTCTAAGTACTTCCTAAATACCTCCTGTCAGACACTTAGATATGCAAAGTAAAATAGTTGCAGCATGAAGAAGGGGATAGAGTATAAAACTATAACTTTTCACCGTAGCTGGAATGTTAGGATCAACTCCTTGGCCTTTAGTTCATAGATTCATAGATTGTAAGGCCAGAAGAGACCGTGGAAGATTATCAGGTCCAGCCCTCTGTACCAAGCAGGGAAGACAACTGGGGCCAGGTGACCCCAGCAAGGTGACTGTCTAGTCTCCTCTTGAAGATTTCCAGGGTAGGTGATTGCACCACCTCTGGAGGGAGCTTATTCCCCCTCCCTGTGAAGGAGTTTTTCCTAATGTTGAGCCTGAAATGGTCGTCCAGGAGTCTGTGGCCATTGCTGATAGTTTTCCCCGTGGGTGCCCTGGTAAAAAGTTGCTCACTGAGCCCTTGATGTACTCCCCTAGTGTAGCAGTGAGCTGCTACCAGGTCCCCTCTTAGCCTTCTTTTCTTCAAGCTGAAGAGTCCCAGATCCCTCAGCCTTTTCTTGTATGGCTTGCAATGCATGACTCTGATCATATGGGTGGCTCTTCTTTGAACTCTCCCAAGCTTGCCCATGTCCTTGTTGAAGTGCGGTGCCCAGAACTGGATGCAGTACTCCAGCTGCAGTCTCACCAGTGCTGAGTAGAGCGGAAGAATCACCTCCCTGGTTCTGTTGGAGACTCATCGATTGATGAATGCCAGAGTATTATTTGCCCTACTGGGTACAGCATCGCACTGCTGGCTTATATTCATACTGTGGTCTGTTATTACCCCAGGCCTCTTTCATTCATGGTGCTAGCCAGTTTGGTGCCACCGAGCCTGTAGGTATGTTGGGGGTTGCTCATCCCAAGGTGGAGCACTTTATATTTTTCGATGTTGAACTTCATCAGATTCCATTCTGCCCAACTTGCCAGCCTGTCTAGGTCCACCTGTATCTGCAGCCTATCTTCAAGCATGACCATGCTTCCCCATAACTTGGTCATCCGCAAACTTGGCCAGTGAGCTCTTCACCCCCACATCCAAATTGTTAATAAAGATGTTGAAAAGTACTAGACTAAGCACCAACCCCTGCGGTACACCACTGCTCACTTCTCACCAGGATGACACCCTGGTCCTATCCTGCAGCCAGTTTCTCACCCACCTGACTGTCTCGGAGTTAAGTGCACGATCCTCCAATTTTTCACAAGGATATTGTGAGATACTAAAGGCCTTTTGGAAGTCTAGGTATACAATATCAACCTGCTCTTAAGTTTGTGCCACAGACAGCACGCAACTAACATAAAACTTCAAAACAGCAAGCAGCTAACGATTCCCTCATTGCAAGGGATCCAAATCTGGGATGAAGCAACAAAGAGGGCATTCTGGATAAGAAGAGAGAGATTTATTTAAAAAAAATAACTATCAAAGGTCAATCAATATTCTCTGAATGAAAGAAAATGCTGAGGCATTTAAGGTCGCATCTAACCTTCTCCGAAGCTTCAATTAGCAATGAAGCATTTCCAGTCCCATCTACTTATTTTTTGTCTTTTATGTATTGCTTCAGAATTCTGTGGCAATAATTTTATTTGTTATAAAATACAGTGAAATACATTAAGGGACATGGATTTTGAGGCAACTTAATGAAATAAGTTAAATAACACATTCAGACACTAGATACTTTATAATTAGTAAGTGCAGTTCAGGTAAGTTGCAGTGCATCATTTTTACTTCCCTGTGGTTATCAGTGCTAAAAAAAAAGAGGAAAAAAACCCACATGTGGACCCATATATTTGCACACAGACTTCATTGGTAGTGGTACCATTTTCAGAGTCAAGAGATTAGATCTGATTCAAGGGATTAGACCATGTGGTTCTTATTAAAGGGATACAGCAAAATGTTAAGTGGTAGAAAATGAGGTCAGACAGCAACAGATATTTTATTACCTACAAATATATGGTTGTATAATTTGGCATTAATCTCTGATGTCATTGCTTTTATATATCTATGTCTATATCTATATATTGACATATAGATATAGATATATATATCACCTAAACAATATCGTTATCTTTTTTAAGAGAATAAGAAAACCAGACAGAATTTCACTTTTAAAAAGAAACATCAAATACCCAAACCATATATTATAAAATATGTGTCCTTCTTCACCCTTTCTCCAGTCCCTTTTGTCCTCACCCATACTGCTCAGGCACTAACCTTCAACAATAAAGAGACATATCAGCTTTTTATATAAACATTAATGTGTAGTAAGAGCCTGTTTGATTAGTATAGTAACTTAACAAATGTATTTTTGCCGTGCTTTGTTTGATTTCAGTCTGTTTTCACATTGGTCAGCTGGGTGAGGCAGAAGTACTGGCTTTTCTTCTACAGATCTTGTCATATTACAACCAGCTTAAAAGGACATTATGCTAGCAGACAGAGATGTTCTCTTGGTGCTTCTATAATATTAATATATAAATGAAGGATACCAAAAAAATGCTGTATATTTTGAAATGGCACATTCAAAGGTCAAGTTACGTGACTTGCCTAAATTCAACAGAGCCAGGCTTCAATCAGCAAACTCCTTGCTCCTAGTGCCTTGAGCTGTTATACCATTTGATTATGCTTAACTTCTCTAGCACCTGATCCAAAATCTGTTACTAAATGTAAAGGAATTTTTCTGTTAACTTCAGTGGATTTTGGATCAAGTTTCTTGTAGCTGGTTAGCACTTGGAAGTTTTAAGTTACACTGCATGCTTTTCTCACTTAACTTTTTGAAAAACACTTCTTTTATATATCGTAAGGCTCTGTGTATATTTAACTTCCTTATCTAAATACCAGTGACATAATCAAATCCATTTAAATAATTTAACAAATTCTTAGAACAATAACTACAAACTGAAAAGAACCATCTTGGAGCCTTTTGGATGTTTTTTCAGTGAAAACATAGGAATAAAATGAAGCCAATCTATGGAAAGCTCAGAAGTTGTCATGTGCATCTGAACTGTTAAGAGAAACTAAAACATGGGATTTTATATGTCAACTCCTAGCATGTCTGTTATCAGAGAAGTGTACTTTCTCCTTGTGGCAATCAGTATACTTACTTCATTGATGCTGATCTCAGCCTCCACATACTGCAGACCTTTCTGAAGTATGGAGATGAGGGCAGCAGGTGGCACTAGTGTTCCGTTGATGTTGGACTGACTAATGTGACTTTCAATACCGAATGTAAAGGCCGAATGGGAAAAACCTGGAAGCAGAAAAGGAAGCCATGATATGAAATCTTAACTTATCAACAACACACAACTTTTAAAATCTAAAAATAATATTGTTCTCTACTGTGAAATGCATGGAAACATAAATACAAGAATGCAAGTTGATTGAACTGGGTCAAATAGGTTAAGAGAGCCATCTTTATTTCTTGTTGCTCTTCCCTTCAATTGCATTTCATATGCACATGAAATTATATAGAAATGGAAACACACAGAGAGGAAAATAATCAGTGTCAAACACAAATATGCTGATTTTTTTTTTTTTAAGGAAGAAGAAGAATAGGAACCAACCTTGGGGCACTGCTAACTAATAACAATATTACTCCTTTGTTTTTTTTTCTGCCTAGGTTATAGTATCAAGGTGTCCAGAAGCCTTACACTTACATTTCTATCAATGTATAGGTCATATCTGGTCAAGGCATAGATGCAACATATGCAGGAGGGAAAGGGGGCATGTTCTATTACAGAAGATAAGTAATGCTGAATTCTCTTCCTGCAGCTTTTATTACGAGCTATAAACTGACATCTAGAACAAAATCATTACACTACGAATCAACAACAAGATGACAGGGGCCACTCCCATGGATCTATTATATGGAAATGAACAGCAAAAGTGAAAAATAATGAAATAGATTGTGGCACATCAGAAACGACATGCCAATTCACTAGCACTTCTCTGTTAATCATAAACTCCCCATTTCATTTTTGTCATCTTCCTAGGAAGCAGCTGATAACACAGCGCTCTGAACCTCAAATTAATGGACCAAGTAGATAAACTTTTCAAGAAGGCACTGCAGCTGAAATACTAGAGGAAACAGGTCAGAACTGTTACTTCTTACAAAGGAGAGAGCTATGATTTTGCTGAATGCCTGGACTGTGCAACTGTATTCACATGCAGGATGGGGAAGGGAGAACAGGACGCAGATATAACTGAAGGAACCCATTTATCACCGCAATATCTCCAGAGCATTATTCTAACATTAGAAGCCTTGGGGAAACCACCCTTGCACTGTCTCAAACAGGAAGCACCCTAGCACTCTCCACCGGCTAGACGACTAGGAGGAAAGAACAGCAACTCTCAAATGAAAATACTTCCGTTAAATTGAGCTATTTCTTTTCCCCTGTCAACAGTGGTTTCATTTATAGTTTTGTTCGTTAAGGGATTTCCCCCATATCAATGCTCAGGCTGACAATATGTAGGCAGGGGGATGGGCTTACAAGTTCATGCCAACATTTTAGGAAGGATGCTCTATCATTTATTTATTTTGGCTGAGATTCTTTCACAATCAATACAACTATAATCAGTTATTTAGATTAGGAGCAGAAACAGATGAAGAAATATAATGCTCCTATGAGCATTAAAACTGGGATAGCAACTTCTCCTTCCCTCTCTCTGTCTCTTCTGTTATGTTGGTTGCCTTCTTCTCTTCCCCCTCTTGATTTCAGCTATGCCTCCTCCCCCATGTCCCTTTGCATATCTCAAGAGGTTCACCACTGATTAGATGCATAGTCAAAAGTGACAAGCAGTGAAGAGTAGTGTAACTTGGGGTGATGCAAAAATAAATAACAACAAAGAGAACAGGCAGCCCATGTTGGAGACTGTTAGTCCAGGGACTTGGCCTTACAATATTCACTAACCACTGAAATCACCACATGTATATTATATCCAATAATCCACACAGCGGTCTTACTTTATTTGAAACTTGTGCATATTCTTCTGCTACTCCTGTCAGAACTGTATTATGGATACGATAGCGCATATAAATTGAGACTAGTCAGATGCATAAATTTGGGGGCCATAAGCATTACATTTTTTTTTATTAAAGAGGCCTTTGTTCTTTTGACAGATTAAGATTTTTAAGCAGTCTCTGAAGAAGTCCAAAAACTGGTGAAAGTAAAATTAACTCTTGAATTACTGAAGGCAATGATGAATATAAACCTACTACTGTATGTGTATGAGAGGCTTCATTTCAAGGATGTCAGGCTCATTCAGCTATATAGGCTGGATCCAGATCACAGGGCTTCTCACAGGCCAGATGATCCATCTCTGACAACAGCGTTAAACCTTGTAGCTACCATTGTATCAGCACATCTCCAGAACTGAGGGAGTTAATTCCACTGCTGCTTGCTCCTCCTATGCACCTTTCCCTGTTGCTGATTTAAGTTGCCAAAGGTGACCAAACCAGTTTTGGCAGAGGCTAAGGTCAGGGAAGGGAAAGCAGACAGCAGCAGGCATTAACTTCCTGGATTCCAGAGCTATGCTGATACAATTGCTTACATAGGTAAGGCGATATGCCCCATGGGCTGCATTACACTCATGGCCATGGGTTATCCAGCCCTGTGGGCCAGCTGACCCACCTTAACAGGTCACATGTGGCCCATGGGCCATATGTTTGACACCCCCGAGCTACACCAATACACTTGTTATTACTGCACCTGTTATTTTGCAATTTTGGCTGTTGGCTGACTGTAGGTTGCATCTTGGGCCAGTAGATGATAGCTTATAGGGATCCTGGTTATCTCTGTTTAAAAATCACAAATTCTCTGATTAAAACCCTCAAAATCTGCATTTTTCTGTGACTGAAATGAAACACCACTATATATATAAGTATCAGCTGAACACAATGTTTTATTGATATACGTACAATTTTAAAGCAGTTTGGAAGCCTACCAGTACCTCATCCACTATAATAAAATTAATTCTAAATACAGTATAACCTCTCGCATGCTCGTGACCAAGCACCTTCCAGAGATTTGAAAATGCCGGGTTTTTTAAACTGTCTTGGCAGCTGGTCATGGAGCGGGGGAGAGGGGTGGGGGTAGCGGTAGCTGGTCCTGGAGCAGCAGTTGCATGCAAAGTGGCAGCATGGGGTGGTGAATGGCGGCAGCAGCTGCTGCATGCAAGCTTTCCCCTCTGCATCCGGGAGAGTGGGGTGGGGGAGCAGCAGCCAGTCCCTAAGTGGCAGGGGGAAGTGCCAGATTTTTGATATCTGGATTTATGAGGTTATACTGTACCTATAATTTTTGGCATTTGATTTTGGGTTTTTTATCATGGAAAATCAGAGCTCCCCTGCCCTATTCTCTCACCAGGATGTGGGTCCAGCTGTGGTTGTCCCCCCACTCCCCTGCCACTACTTTGTGGCACTAAGCAGCCCTGATATGCTGGTGCCCTGTCCATGCCCACTTCAGGCTCCCTGCCCTACTGCTCTTTCCCCAGGGCCTCTGCAGCCCAGTAGGCAGGACCTGGCACAGCAGGGCAGATTGGGACCAGGTGAGGAAGCTTGGTGCTGCCGCTGGGAACTCCGTGCCACCATGGCGAAGCATACCCTACCTGATTAAGATTTAAAACTTAAATCTCAAAACTGTAAGTTTTTAAAAAGGAATTAAAAAGCAAATCAAATCAAACCAGTTTCCTTGTTTCCTATGTTTCTCAGGAGAAGTTTATGAGGACTTTCTGAAAATGGACATTTTGGGCCACTGGGATAAGGTGTGGGATTCTGAAGTGCAACACATACACCAGGAAAATTGTAAGAGAATCTGCGCACACAACAGGTTTCCTGTGACACTGCAAATAACTTGAGCTTTGCTTTTATGGTTACCCAATGTCATCAAGTCTCTTTGATGTATGTGTGTGAATTAACACACATGTGCACAATATTACATAGTAGTGCTGTATCACTATATCAGCCTTATGAAGTGGTGATCTCAGAACAAAGGCATTTTTAAGTCCTAGTTGTTTAAATAGTCACATTACAAAAACGAACTTTGGCACTTTTCTAATGTTCTTAAACCCACATTAAGTAGCACACAACAAAAACCTGGAACACTGTTGCCTTGATTGATTACATGCAGGCTGTCAAGGCAGCAGGGTTGGGGGGAGAAGGAAAGCAGAGAGAAAATACTTGACAAATTGGTTCCTTAAGATACAATGTGATGAGGACAACATGAACTTCTAAGTCGGGACATAGTAACAGTGCTCAAAAAAGTAGGGCAGAAAAGCTGTTGCCTTTCTTTCCCCAGGTGCACAGCTTCCTGTAGCTTGGATTTCATTATCTGATGATTTCATCATTGCAGTAATCCTGTATTGTTCCAAAAAATATTCACTTGTATTCCGGTTGCACCCAGGAAATAATATTCTAATATATTAATTATTATGCAGACATAATAATAAGAGATGGTGAACCCTTAATGGTCAGTGTTTATCTTTAAAAAAGGATTAGACACATTCATGGAGGACAGGTTCCTTAGGGGATTTATATAAAGCAATCAGGGATGTATCATCTGACATCTCTAAACCAATGATGGTTGATGCCATGGAAGCAGTGACAGGGGATGGATCACTCTAGCCATGCTCCCCTGTTCATACACTCTCACTCTCCGAAGCATCTGCTGTTTTCTTTGGGACAGAGTTCTTGTAATCTTAATTATGTATAATGCACCTAGTATGTTTTTGGCAATGCAACATTGCACTTGCAAAACATAGGTGCAACAAAGAAAATCATGCTATCATACCAGTCTGTCTTAACTGAGAATTCCTTCCATTTGTAGTTCTAATTCTCAGCTTGATTTGCCAGTTAAGGATTTTTCTTTAAAAATATACAAACAAGGTGTTATTGACTATTATCTGTCCTAGCTGATCTAGACTCAAGTAGCTGACATTCTTGTTCTGATTCCTTTAACTCTGTAAACTGCTGTCTTTTAAAATTACAGTTTTAGGACATAGGCATTTGAACAAGCTACTGAGAGGTAAGCTAAGGAGTGAAATTACAGCATGCCAGCTACTCCTTGGTAACTGTCTCTGTACATGCTCTTTTCCAATGGTAAAGGCAACACATAGGTAATTATTGGACAGTAACTAAACTGCTGCAAGTTTACACCCTAGCTTACCTCACATTACCTTGTTCATATGCCCATAACCTTACACTGAAATAGCTACTGTACCTTCTGCTGCCTTTGGACAGGTAACCAGAACTCAACTCTTCAATAAACAGCTGTTTGGGAGTATTAAGTTCTAAATTACTACAGATTTGGGCTGTTTTTTCAGAGCTAATGGGTAGGAATGATTGAATTATTTGTTTAGGCTAAGTTTTTCTTTCTGTTTCTAACCTACTAGGGAAATGACTTTATTTACTAAATTTACTTACTATAACTTTGAAAAGAGTTAATAATACAAAATTCAATCTCAGGTTATTTGCAAATGATTTACCTTAATTTTTTATAAGGTGTGATTTGTCACTTAAGTCTCATTATCAGTCTCTGAGTGAATGAAATGGAAATATAAACAGTAAATTGTGCATTGCATTTAATGAACATTCTCGTTCCCACACAATTCCAAGTTCATATGAAGTACCACCATTATAAATTCAGTCCCACAAATGTTTGCATAACCCAGGCTACCAGTACAGCTTTGTCTACAGCAGTAGTTAGACCACTTATGGAGGCTTGTACTACCTCATTTGAATTACTGAGCCTCATTATGTATCTCAAGCAGTAAGAACTGATATCTTTAAATTCAAAGATCCTGGGTTCAGTTCCCACAGACCACCTAACAAGGGGATCTGTTACATTTGTGAATTGTGAAAAAAAAGAAGGCATGCAATCCATCAAATGAAAGAGCCTACTTGAGTTGTGATAGAGTATTTGCCAACTTCTTTTTTTGCAGATTTTACACAGCTCTAATTATAACTAAAGTAATACAGTATATTCAATTTTACTTATTTTTCAATACTACATATATTTCATAGAACTGCTGTATTGCTTCACCCTTCTTCATCTCTCAGATAGCCTTTTTGTTTCCTTAAGACTACTTGGCAGGTAGCAGATACAACATTGAGAGGGGTTATAAAATGATTAAAATGACTCCTAGCTTTCACAGCCAGTTTCCAACTTCTATAGTGGGATCCTGGCAATTTTGAGTTCATAAATACATTTCTTCTAAAAACAGCATATTATCTGGTACCAAGACTGAAGTTTACCATTGTAAAAAAAATGTGTTGGGGTGGAATATATACTAGGGAGCTGGCTAGCACTTCAGCCTACAGAAAAAAAAAAATATATGGGCATGAGGTGGTGAGCGAGCACTGTCTTTATTTCCACACATGGGCCTATGTACAACCTGCATGAGAGATTTAGATGCATCAAGCACAGGCACTCTACAGAATGCTAAGTGAGTCCAAAGAAAGTGGCATTCAGGAGGACAAGACATCCCACAGTCCCATCTGTGGTTTAACCATGTCACCAACCCTAAATAACTCCAAAGCTGCCAGCACAACTGCTTGAAGAGCTTGCCAAGAAACCAGATGTAACTGCTGGAAAATATCTTCCACAGTCTGATATCTGGGTCTTGGGAGCACCATCTAAAGATGAAGGAAAAGAAAGAAGACTGGTATGATGTGAGGCTTAGAAATAAATAAATCCTACCACCACAGATTAAAAGAACAGAAGAATAAATAAGATCATTATCCCCAAGTACAATGCATAACTATACTTGGAAGTTGAAAACAGGTATTTTGAAGCGTGAGATTTACTGGGCTAGGGAGGGGAAAGAAAGCACATACACTAAGATACTTATTTGCAAAATACATGTAAAGACCTCAATCCGTGTCTGCAGCCACTGGAATAAAGTGCCTGTCTTGGAAACATTGTACCCCCATGATTAACAGAGGGCCATTGGAGCATATGACTTAATGTTGCTGTCTAGGGCCCAACAGGACCTATATTTATATTTTGCACTGTAGTGGACTACAGCCTCCATTTGAAATTGTAATATGTTCCTGTTTAGATGATGAATTGTCAAAGACAATTACTAACAAGTATGTAGGGCCACTAATCCTTTTGATTCCAAATCCCTCTGTATCATAGGGCAGTTATGGAGTCATTTTTTTAAAATAGATCGCAGTGTGGGCAGACCAATGGCATCACACGTGGATCCCTGGATCTCCCCTGCCAAGAAACTATTTAGATGCAGTTAAAGTCAGTTTGCTGCTTAAAGCTACTGCCTGAATTCTATTTTAATGCTGATGATGGTTAAAAAGGTAGGCAAACATCCTAAACCACATCTTGTTTATTATTCACAGCAGACTCAATTTTTCCTTCAAGCTGAGTTATTTCATTCTCTGTAATATGTCCTAGAGTGCCCCTCTCCTTTTTGGCAGCGCCTACTTATTTCTGAAGACTTACCTTAGTGATTACATAAAGGGCTTAACAAGGACACACATTAGCAATGTAAAATAAGAACTGCAGTTGAAATATATTTTTAGAAAATCTGCTGAACAATAGGGCCTGCACATTTTTTTTTAAGATTAGGGTTGCTCAACCATTAAAATGATTTCCAGAACCCTGGGAAATGTGTCCTGTATTACAAGCTTTTTCACAGTCCTGGGGAAATATAAAGAAAAGATCCTACACTGTAGTTTATGTCAGTTGCCAAAATTATAGTGTGCATAGTTGCCCTAAGTTTTGTAGAAGCAATTATTCACAAATATTAAAAGTTACACCCTTCTCCTTGGATACCTGACCTGCTTAACAGCTGCCAAGAATTCAGAGTGAACGTCTGCTACCCTAAATTATTTAATTACATGCCAAAGAGTGCTTTTGGCAGGGTTTTTCTTTTTCAAGCAGAACACATTGGAAAAGATTAATAAAACTTGGAAGTGATCTTTTGATGAGCAGTATTTGGCTCTTACTGTTTCCATCTTTTTGAGTAATGCAAATTAATTAAAAGAAAAATGTGATAAAGGGAGAAGGCAGAACAAGGAGAATGGGAAAGATTTTTTACTTCATTTTAAAAGCAAGGCTTCCTTTTTACTCACTCCATATAAATTAGTCTGACAATGTGCAAATAAATGTCAACACAGATCTATCAGCAAGACTTGGGATATTTTCCAATGGCTACTGCAACACCTCTCTTACTAGATTAATGAGAATGTTATCACCTTCCAGACCTGCCCTCTGCACCAAATGTCAAAGGAGAGGATGTGTATTATTACATGACTCATTTTAGGTAAAGAGATCATATTTAGCAGGTTTTGCCCTGAGCTCTATTCTTGCATCACTTATAATAACTACTTGCAAGCAGCCGTGACTAGGACATCACCAGTGATGATCAATGAGCAAGAAAGGATTTCAACACTACAGGTTGTTGTAGTAGCGTTTTTGTTCCAAGACTGTAAGCCCAGACCTGCACTACAAAGACTTCCAGTACATCAATGTCTGTTGAAGTATAATGATGCAAGATTTATAGCTGATACAGCTATGCAGGAAAAAGTCCTGACTCTAAACTCAGAGCAATTTTTGTAGCATACCTTATTTCACAGGGATCCAGATTAGGTATGTCCATATTAGAAAAATTTAGCCTGAAGCTTATCTGGCCTAAAGCTGGGGGGGGTTCTTTTGTTCTTTTTTAATTTTTTAAAAATTCATACAGTAACCTCTCCCCCTCTTATTCATCTTCCTTTTTATATGTGTAACAATCCTTCCAAAATAATTTGTCAGTTTAATAATTTAGTAAAAACAACACAATAGGTAAAACCACATTATAGAGTAATAAATTACAAAGGTACAATTGTTTGTGTGAATATAATGTGAAAAATGGCCATATTTGCTAAGTGACTGAGATCTAATGCTTTATGCCAAGTTTTAGCCAAAGAGAAGTTTAAACAGCCAAGATCTGTAAAAAGATTTAAAAGGAAATACCAACTAAATAGAGTTCTGCAAATGTCACAAGGAACAAGATAGCCAGTGTATTTTATTTCTTTACAGAAACCTGCTAAATTCTAAACTGTTTTTTTTGCATGATATTTTAAATGGCCTTCCTTATGTAAAAAGGAATAAAAGTGGAAGAAAAAATACAAAGGAAAAAGCTATGAAAGGTCTTACAATACATCTATTCACATATATATGCACCTATGGTGCAAAGTAGATATCAGAGCACATAACTTGAAATTTACATTCTAATAGACAAAAACTTAAGTGGGGCAATTTATGACCAAACTGATGTCCTCTCACTGCTGTAACACAAGAAGCATCATCTCTTTCATTCCTATGTCATTTGGATTGTGTCAGCTATGACTTTTGTGTTGCCAGAGCTTCTGTGAAAAAGTGTACAATGTAATCAAGATGTCCACATTTTTATATGATATAAAGATGCTCTCAGGTTAATTGCTTCTAGTTACAGGAGGTAGGTAAAATGATTGCAAATCATTCACCATTGACAAAATCTGAATCCCAAACCAGCTTTGATCGTAAATAGATATTAGTATGGTGACTTCAGTTTAGTAAAGCTCATTGATGTCTAATTCCATTCTGGAACATGTAAATGTATTCAGTATTCGCACATTGAAAGACAGTGGCCAGAAGAGTGAAGAGTTATGTATAGTAATATAGTTTTACTTCAAGATATAGATTTTTCCCCCATTAGGTAAGAAAATAAAGTCTAAATTTGAATGAAAACAGCTGCATGGCCCATGCAGGACGTTAAAAGAATCACTAGTACATCAAAATGTATTGTGTGGTTTTATGATGGAGAGCTCTTTTCATCTAAAGGGACATCATCAAATGAAAAATAACATTTATATTTGAAAATGTTGCACCTGCTACTGCTACAAGTAATGCCTAAGATTACTATTATTGGAAAAGAAGATTAGTCAAAAGACTTCCCCCCCATTTTTCAATTTTGTGCTCCTGACAATGCTTGACATAGTCAGTTTTACTGTTTCCTTGTGCTATATAATCACTTTCTTGCTACTTAAAAAGAAACATAAACACGGTGGGGAAAAAGGTTAATCAAGTTTTTTTCCAAAGGAGTTTTTAAAAAAAATGACACACTATGTTGAGGATGATTTAACAGAAAATATATTTTTCTGAAATTAGTCAACTTATAAAAATAAAATTGACAGTTTTTCTTAAAATGGCAGTGTTAGTCATGAAATGACACTAGGAGACATTTCTATTTGAACCAACACTGATTCTGTTAAATTTCTCAAGCATTATTTTCCAACATAGTAAATGCAAATTCTGTCCTATCCCCAGCACACTGAGGACTCTGTTCACCGAGGTCATCCAAATCTTGGTTCTACAGCCAGCTGCCTATTCATCAGAAATGTGGCTCATCTGCAGAAGCCATTCTGTTTTCACTGAGTAGATTAAGGTGAATGGAGGATGAGACATCCCATAAATAAGCCTATTTGCCCACTAAACAGATCTCTGCTAAATCAGAAGGGCTAAAAATGGACTTTGCATTGTCACACAGACTAGTGCTTTTACAAACTTGAAAGGTTGGATTCATCAACTCAATCTTGCCACCCAGTTCCTTAGAATACATGTAGTTAAATCCAAGCCCACCCTGCACCTCTGTCTTTAATTTTCTCACACTTTGGAATAAATACAATTAAAATAAGTATAACTATTCTTTTTTTTTTTTCTGCTGCAGTCTTTTGTCCCTTTCACAGAAAAATCTGGATCTTCAAATCTGGATGTGTGGAGCACATGCTGAAGCATAGCAGCTGATGTAAATGTTGTGCATGTACCGGAGAAGTTCAACAGCACTTAAGTGATTAACATTTTAGAACATATTTATAGAGAGGCTCTTTAAAAAGATCTTTGAAGCTAATGAGCAAAATTTGGGAGGGGCCGGGGTGGGGAAGAGGAGGATTTATCACTAGTAGGCTCCAGAGGCACAAGAATACTGTAATATTTTTTATTTCACAGTGGTCCTTTATTGACTCATTTTTCTGATAAATTATTTTTAAAGTTTGTATTTTAATAATTTCATCAAAACCTAGGCACTGTTCTTTTCCTTTTCATTGCACAGCACAGTTTTCCTTACACACTAACCATCAGGCAACTAACTATGAAGCAAATTTAGATGACCTACATATACCAATATTTTTTATTATTACTCTTTTCTACACTTAATCTGAATTAATTTAAGAAGGTATTTTCATATAAATGACTGGCACAACTCTGTGGTGCACACAACAGTTTATACTGCTCCAGATTCTATAAATGTTCATCTAAAGATACAAAAAACTGTGATACTCTTTATTATCTGAGGGATTTCAGGAGATCATACAACTAAAAGATTACTTCATTCATGAGATATAAATTCAGAGATAGAATAATCATTTTAACTTAAAGCATTTCTCACTTCTGAGAAATCTTAATTTTTTTGTCTATTTTTGGTATGACCTTTCCTAAGTTCTTTTAATAAAAGCAAATGAAAAAAAAATTGAAAAGGTAGTTCCTCTTCAAGGGTGTGTCAGCTTTCAAACAGCACATGTGAATATAATAATTTAGAACTATTTGTCTAGACAGCAGCAGAATGCCTAAATCCCACAAAGTTTGGGAGGCTTGCTGG